TTTTTTAAATTTGTTAAAACATTCTTAAATTTGTTAAACGTCTTTAAGACGTCTTTTTAGGACGTCTTAAGACATCCTTTTTGAAACGTCCTTCCGGCGTCGAAAAAATGTCTTTTTTGGGACATCTTTCCGGCGCAGTAAAAATGTTTTTTTTTTTAATGTCTTTTTGGCGTTGAAAAAATGTATTCCCTTTCTCATACTGCTTGCGTCTCAAATCTGACATCACTGGCGGGAGACACTACTTAGCGACAGAGCGCGACTAGTTGGAAAATAGTTGACGTGCGCAATCACTGGATAGCGCCTAAATCACATTATTTTGCGGAAATAATTGATAATTTCGGCGTTTTTTTTAAAGATTGGAAACCGCGTATTTGTTTCAATTTTTGTTATCTCATGTGTCTATAAACATAAAACACACACATATGCATTTAAAGTGGGATACAAGAACTACTTGAAAATTTGATTATTTTTAATATAAAATTCTTAGAAATTATTTTAATTAAATACAATTACTTTAATTTAAAAACAAAAACAAATTTTGATATAAGAGCATAATATATTTTATAAATTTTCAAATAGAAACACTTAAGCGCAATCAAAACTTGTTTGCTCGTGATTCTTGCTGCTACAAATCTCATATTGGTAATGAGAACTAATTTAATTACCGCCAATGCAGTTGTATACACTACAATTCAACTCGTTCCAATAATTAGAACAAAACATATATTTGATCACGCGTTTGTATCCCTACCGCGTTGTTAATGAGGTTTACGTTCAGATAAATATCGACTCTAGCTACCATAAATTTTCGTACCTCGTGTAAATTTACAATGACATTGGAAATGTCACAGCCTCTTGCGTGATTCAGATGCAATATGAACAGATTTTATTTATTTGTGCACAGTACACCATGTATACATAGCAACAAAATATCTTATCAGATGGCATGTGACAGGATTTCATCAGAAATATCATCACATAAAATTAAAAATGTATATAGTAAAATGAGAAAATATATATACTCCCTATACAGAGAGTAAAAAAAAACACTTTTCTCTCTAATATTATATAAAACTTTATAATGAATATTAAATAATAAATATTTTGTACTGCATTATATTAACGATATTTGATCTTTTAATTCTTAAAAATATAGAATAATAATAGCAAATTAATGCTACATTGTTATCATTCAATTATTCAAAATATATGTTCATATAAATTCACATTAGATAGATTACATCAATGCGGCTTTATTAAATATCGCTTTAAATATCGTTATAAAGTAGTAATTAATAGTGGACCAATAAAAAAAAGGTTCTTATGAAATTGAGGTGTGTCATTTATGTGACTTTTACCAGGATAGAAGATCATGCAGATTCCTACAGTCCACATGAATTCGCTCACGAAACAGTCATGCAGTGTTTGCCGGGACACTAACTGATTAACACATACTCGAACATGAAAGAAGAGAGAGAAATCTACACTCTCATCATCAATTCATATTATTAAAATAAAAGTTTACTTAATTATTTAATAAAAGAAATTGATACACAACATAAAAAATAAAATTTGCATTCTCGGCAGCTTGTAACGTGTTGCATAATAAAGTTGAAATAGAATAGAATTATTGTTGTGTAAAAATATACTGTGTGTGATAAAAGTGATTAATTGATAAGTGATTATCAGCTAAACAATCGTTATTTGTTACAAAGTAGTGAAAATGACCAAAAGTGAGTACGAATAACATTTTTATTTTAATAACTCAGAAACTATTTTAACGTTTTCGATAAGTATTTTATAATCAGAATAAACTAGTAAAAACATTTAGTTTTATTCACGGTAATCTATGTCATAAGTAGGTTTTTAAAATAATAAAACAGTTGATTTTATAAAAATATTAATTAAAAAAATAATATTTTTGAACTAATTTTTTAACTTATTTAATAGAAAAAGAGTTGTTTACTTGCCGAGGTGTTTTGTGGCATCTGGTTTTTTGTGGTTTTGCCATTAATTACTTATTGAGATTGAACTTAAATCTCACTATAGTCACAATGGTGATACCACATCCGAAACCCGCAGCGGATGTCCAATGTAATGTGGAAAATAATACATTATTATGGATCAATGAAACATCACAGGATGACAACGTTTCTTTGTCTTTTTCGACTGAGATGCCGTCCTTTGAAAATGTTACAGTAAGACTGAAAGTGATTTAAAAGATTTAATTTAGAAAATTAGGAGATAATCTCCTAAAAACAAATTATTTTTATACAAATAAAACCTGCAGAACATATTTCTTGATATTAACTTCAATGCTCACCTTTTTTTTATAGAGAACGGTGCAGTTGAATATTTTTTTATTCCGTGACTTCATGATTCTGTTTAGTACGAAGATCGGTTCGCTTGGAACGAGTATGAACAGGGATTAGTATTGGGAGCCTATTATTGGTTGCACTGGTTGTCGCAACTTCCTGGTGGTCTGCTATCTAGACGATATGGCACAAAAATTGTATTTGGCTTAGGAAATTTCTTAACAGCTCTCTTAGGATTTTTTATTCCCTATGCCACACATCTGTACGCCCTTATATTTCTTCGAATGTTGCAAGGATTAATTGCGGTGAGTAGATTCCTTCAGAAATATATTTCAATTAACTTTTATAGAGTGCGCTGATGAATTTCTAATGTATTGTTAACGCTATTTGATTTTTATCAGGGTGTTATATGGCCTTCGATGCACGATATGACAGCAAAGTGGATTCCACAAAATGAGAGAAGCAGATTTGTCAGTGCTTATCTGGGTAAGATGCATATTATATAAATTGTTTTCATTATATCTGAAACAAAAAAATGGCATAAATTAGTACAAAAAATATAAATTTTGAACTTTATTTTGATGAAATTTTAGGGAGTTCTGTGGGAGCCGCAATTACTTACCCCTTGTGTGCGGCTATCAGCAGTTCTTTCGGCTGGGGTGCTTCTTTCTACGTGACATCTTTTCTAGGTGTAATTTGGTAAGCATTTCTATAATTACAATTATTTCAATACGCAAATCATTCACAATAACTCGTAAATTGATTTGCCGCAGGTACTGCTTCTGGCATTTTCTCGTGTACGATTCGCCGCAACAGCATCCGCGAATCTCTGATGAGGAGAAAAATTACATCATGGACAACATTGGTGGATCTGTCGACGAAAAAGAGACCCACATACCTTGGAAATCGATAATTCTATCAAGACCAGTATGGATCACCATCATCGCACATTGGAGCAGTGCTTGGGGATTTTTGACTCTCATGACGCAGGCACCCACTTACTTCAACTTCATTCACGGGTGGAATATTAACACTGTGAGTTCCGTATCGTCACAATCCGATAAACAAACAATTCTTCCAGATTATTTAAGTTAATTTATATTAAACCAGTGTTCGTAAATTAGCGTTCCATGTTGGCAATCTAACTAAGAAAATGTCCCATTTATTTTATTAGACTGGAATCCTGGCAGGTGCACCGCACATACTCAGAATGGTTTTCTCGTACTTTTTCTCGATTATGAGCGATTGGCTGCTTCGCACGAAGCGAATGAGCTTGACGAACGTCAGAAAATTAGCCACCTTCGTTTGTACCGCCGTTCAAGGTGTTCTGATTATAGCCCTCGGATTCAGCGGATGTCATCCATTGGTCGCGGTCATCTTCATGATGAGCGGCACAGCGGTTAACGGTGCTATCTCCGCCGCCACTTTGGCAAGTTTTGTCGACCTCAGTCCGAATTATGCTAGTGTCCTCCTCGGATTCGGCAATATGATTATTATATGGGGCGGCTTTATCTCACCAATGATCGTTGGCGTACTGACGAATAATAACGTGAGTTTCACTTTTGAAAAGATTATGATCGCATAAATCAAGTGTGTTAAAATTCTTGACTCATAATCTTGTGGAGAGGATTCTTCTCGATAGTATTTATTAATTTGTTTACAGCAAACTGTGGAGCAGTGGCGTTTAGTCTTCTTCATTGCTGCTGCTAATTCGATAGTGGGCGGTATCATATATATAGTTTTGGGCACTTCAAAGAAGCAGCCATGGAATCAATACACCGAATTAAATTTGAAGGAACAAGAAATGCAAAAACTTGCCTCGGAAAACGTAAAATGTGATAACGGCGCCGAGAATGTAACTGAAAAATCAAACTTTATTAAGCAAGATAATCGTGTAGTCTTTAAGGAGTCTCACAGTGAGGAATAGTAATTCTAAAATGTAAATATTGCACAACAAAATATGATAGTTCAATGAGTAGATTTGCTCTAAGGATATACATATATTAATAAAGAGCGTGTTAACGATTGATCATATATTTGATAATAATATTAATAATACACTCACATAAATTATCTTTGGAACATTTTGTCACGAAGAAATAAAGGAATGAAAGAGTGATGTTAAATAAATACTAAACTATTTGTAACACGCTAAGACATGTTATGACTTAGATGCGTTTTTATCGCTAAATACACACTTTACAAATCAATTTACACATATCTAGCTTTTAATGCATCACTCCGTCTCCATATGTGCACAATGTGTAAATTGCGGTGCACAAGTTTTAGTAACACAATCGACGGGCAATGATTATTTTCTATTATATGGCCAACACCAGTCCTTTAGTCTTACACGAAAGAATACCAGAATTATCACAGCTTCTCTTTCTGCTGTGAAGCAGATTAAATACCAAGCCTAATCCTACTTTCTGGACAAACGTCGCGTGGCTATCATATATTATCATTCATGGACCTTACTACGATTTACGTACTATCGATCATTGCCATCACCCATAGATGAAAGTGCACACACAGTTTTAATTGTTTATGTTCATCTTCCATAAATCATTTTGTGAAGAAAAAATATAGTTTTGACATTTTGCACGTTTAAATTCAATAGCGACATCCTATGTTAGTAATCGCTCTGAGATAGATTTCCGCATTTTATATAATTATGATAAATACTGTGAATTCAATAAAGTTACTGATTTCTCTTCATATCACTGTAATCTTAATGGGCACTTTCCAGTATCTACCGTATTAATATCTAAGCTCGTATACCAAGGTCTTATTTCAAGACCTCGATAAGAAATTCTCGCGTTCACCGGAAGACTAATTTACGTACGGATAGATGCGAAGCACACATTTTCTTCCGGAAGTCAGTAATTACCCAACAATCTATTTTTAATGATATTTTTAATGTAATTTGAATGATAAGAAATAAGTGGATAATAGTTGGATATATACTTAAGCATAATAAGATAAAATGCATATTTTGGAAACATCTATGAAAATTAATAAAATATATATTTTTCGATATATTCATTAGAATAGCAAAGTTTTATAATCTTTATTCTCTAAAAACAAAAGAAAAAAAGGAAGACGAAAGAAAAATGCTACGACATCGACGGAATATAATATATATGTCGTATCTTAAATGTTTTCAGTTCTTTCTGTACTATATTTTGAATAGTACTAGACATTAAAAATTGCATTAAAAACTAAAATTGTAATAATATAAATAATTTGCAAAATAAGATAATAACTTATGCTATTCATTAAGCAGACGCAATAAAAAGTTTCCTTACGAGATACAAACTAAATTAATAATACATATATTAAATTAATTTTTTTATAATCTACCATAATCTAATAAGTAATAAATATAAATTACAGGTAGAAAACACAGTAATGCGACTAGTATTGAAAGCACGTAATGACACAAAAACAAATGCGTAATTGGAAGCTCAAAGCTCCTTCTAAAGCCTCAATTAATGTATCAAAAGAATCATCAATCCATAACATGTACTTAGGCCTAAAATAGGAATCTATCGTCAGATAAGTCAATCTAAAAACTCGAGATATAAATCTAAGCCCGTGCCCGATTTATATGTTATATATACTAAATACTTTATGTATATATATATATATAAAAATTCTTTATGTTTATGTAGATTTGTATGTGTACATAAGTATTCTCTGTTTGATAAAATTTTAAATGTGTGCTTCTACGCAACAAGTGGCTTTAATAATTTGTGTTAATTAAGTCCTCCTACCAATGTTTGTCAATGGTCTTGCTGCACACAAAATAAACCAAATAATTTTTTGAAACAAACTTTAGACATGTCAGTGAGAAATTTCATCAAATTTACGTACACGGCACATGGTTTATAGACGGAATATTAAAGTATTTTTTATTAAACAGAAAAAATAATCGTATATAAGTAAAAGAAAAAAAAAAAATATATAAATACTTTAATTTATCTTAAGATATTTGTAGAAACAATCGTATTTTTGTAGTTTTTGTGTTACTCTTGACATTTGCTAAAATTTTAAGATTTCTTTCACCATCAACAACATTTATACATACGCATATATGTATAATATATCTTTCCTATCTTTTTAAGTCCATTTTTAAATTTCATATTTAAAAATTAAGTTTCTGCACACTACCCCGTAATTTTTAATGTAGAATTTTTTAATTACAAAAAAATGGTATATTGTTGAGAAAATTTGATCTAGAAATTTAGAAAATTTTCGCGGAGACATTATCCAAATTTTTTAAAAGGGCAGTGAATTTAACGTATGAACACGTTGGCACATTTTAATAGAAATCTTTGTTGCGCATCCCGTATGTAATATAAGACTTCAGAAAATGCATTTGTTTAATAATCCTTGTAGACGTATATTGCGTGAATATAGAATGAAGATATCTGTTGAAAACGTCAATATACTCTGATAAACATGTAATAGTTATTCCAGCAATACTGTAACGACAATTTGATTCTGGTAAATACTGTCAAATATTTATACTTTCAGTTTCCAGTTGCGTCTCTATCACATCTATAACTAGATCAGTTTATCTGCTCAACAGCTTGGTTAACTGTCTCTATCCTACGTTTCATTTAGACCAATTGTTTGATCATCCTAATCATAGCAAGTACTAATGCAACAAGTAGCTGCCCTATCAGATTAAGTTGAATTGAGTCTGCCCAATCCATCACCTACTATGAGAATAGAATAGAATTTGATATCCTATATCTTGTTTGGACCTAGTGCAATTACTATGATTTCAATCATAGCAAGTACGAATGCAATAAGTTTTTGTTAGATTAAGTTAAACAGAGCTACCGCTAAATTTTATCACCTATCTAAGAAATAATTCTTTTTTAAAGCGTTATTAGTCTTTACGATTTGATGTCCAAAATCAAATACGCGATGTATGCATAATACATCCTTTAACGTACATTCAACATGAATGTGCACAAATTTGTTTTCGTAAAAATACGAAATTATCCCGTCTCATAATCATACATAACGCATTATATTACGAGAAATAATAATGGCACTATTCTATCTTCTATCTTAGCACACGAGAAATTTGAACAATGGAATTTAAGTAATAAGTAAATCTATCAATGACAGTTCAATATGCTTTTCAATATTTTTAAGAATACTCTGACTGATCCCGACTTCAATGTTAACCACGTGATTAAAGGGCAACATTTTTTTAAAAATATTGTCGAAAAAGTAAAAATTTGTAAAAAATGGCACTGTTTTAAAAAAATTTATAAAAAATTTGAGCGGTACTTGTGTAAATTATTCTATAGCGTAAAATATTATTGTGCGATCTTTACGAATAAGGAACTTCTCGAAATTAGCCAGCTACTTATTAATCATTCTTAAGAATCTTGTGCAGTGTACACTTAACTGTCGTTTTGATTTTAGATTCTATCGTTTGTTTTGCGAAAATTTATGCGTGTTGCATTGTATGCTACGTGAAATATAGTTAAAAGACTAAACTAAAAGAGCGACATTAGTCATTGGTCGGCGGATCCATAGCACAGATTATAGCTTTCATTACGCTGGCTGCCGCCAATGCCGCATAAGGCTGCCACTCTTTGATTCGCGTACCATCTTTGTAATCGGCGATTCCGCGAATTACAGCGAAATTCTCACGACAATTACCTAAGATACTCTCGACCACTGCATCCATTTCCGCGTCAAACGCGAGCGCACCAAATCGACTTGCGAACTTTTGCCTAAGTTGATCATCCCGCGCGATTTGTCGACCGGATGCTACTGGTGCCAGATGAATTCGAGAGCAACCATTAGCTCTGTAATGAGAGAATAATAATATAATAGTATCAAAAAACATTTTTCTTATGCGATAAAACGTCGAAGTAAACTAATAAATTGGTAAATTACCTTTTATTTATAGAATCCTGAGGTGCAATTGGATGAGATACTTCGATGACATCTCTTTCTCCAATAGCCATGTATAGCTTATCAGAATCAGGTGGTGGCGCGTTGAAATCGTGTTCCGATTGATTAACTAGGTTCTCCAAACCTTCTTTCATGTACGTTTGCCATGGAGGTGTTGCTTCGTTCTCAGCCTACGAAAAAAGTAAACATTTTATATGTAAGGAAGCAAAATATACCTATAAATAAATCGATCAAATTACCTGCTTCATAAGAGTCGCTGCGATTTCTTGAAGACTGAGATTCGGAGGGCAATATTCTTTGGTCTCGAAATGATAGTTTCCGTTCTCATTCATCTTGGCACTTTCGCAATAAACGTACGTGTATTTGTTGTTCAATGGGGTTGGATGCGATATTACCACATCACCCAGTCGTACGTGTTTATTGTAATCTGTATAGTGAGGAACACCGCCACCAACTCCAACGAGAAAGACAAAATCCACCTTTTGGAATGTACCTGTACATATAAGATTGTATAAACGTGTAATACAAATTAAAAAAAGAATACAAAAATTTCGAGAAAAATTATGCATACCTAACAATCTGGTGGTGGTATTGCCGGCTGCAGTCATTGCTTCTCTGGTATGGCCTACAGTTGGCAATTTGGTGCACACAATCCTATGCGCACCAATATTGCCCAAAGTGTATACGTTTGATTCTCCTATAACAAACAGTATTCATTTACTTTTCGTATCTTTGCTTTTAAATTTATGCTTTCCTATATTCTTCACTTGTGTATGATACATGTGCACTGTGCGACTATTGACAAAGTATGACGGAACTTGTGTTACATGTGACGCTAAAATAGATAACAAATGACTCATTCTATGTATATGTATTTCCAAGCCTAGTTTGATACTAGGCATAATATGGAAACAAGTACCAAAAATTTATTCAAAATTCTAAAATTTTGAGAGTTTGCAAGGTGTTGAATATTTTTCACACATTTTATAGAGATGGAGTTATTAAAAAAATATAAATATTCTGTTGAATTTTTCATAGTATTGTCTCATTGAAAAAAATATTTTTAAAAAATAAAAAAAATGTTTTCCCGTATTAAGTGCTTAGAACATAAAATAGAAATTAAATTCAAATAAAAATATTAATACCAATCACAAATGTAATAAATTTCAACGAGAATAATATGATATATATAACTCATAAAATGAATATAATACAAAACATGAATAAGCTAAACAAAACATTGCACATAAGACGAACACAAACGCAACGCTATACAAAAATAATTGAATTCTGTTAATATTAATATGTACAGACGGAGTCATTAATGCCTTCCCATTTTTATGTAGTATACATTACGTATACTATATACTATATACGTTACGTATACTATATAAAAATGGGAGGATTAATGACTCCGTCTGTACAATACAAAACAAACTATCATAATAAAAATTTCCAACAAAAAATCACCAACATAACATATCAAATGATTTGTAGTATTAAAGGAATGCTGTTAACGGTGTTCCAAAATATACGTTTATACCATGGCCCCATATTTGTTCTTCAGTGGCAAGCAATTGGCAAGCTATGAAATAACATTAAAATGATAGAGTTATGTTACAAACTACTTTACCAAAACGGCATATCACTCGCGGAACTCCGTCTATCGTGTCTGGTGAGCTTGCAGTACCTAAAGTTTCATGCATGGTGAAATTCACATTCCAAATATTGTTCAAGCATTTACCGTCGATTAACGGATAATGCAAATTAATAGTTATATGCATAGTTATTCGCACAGGAGCAGAGAAGAGAAAGATATAATCAGAATGATAGACAAAATAAATTAAAAATAATTCGACTAAAATATTTTTTAAGTGAATTATATACAGTAACTCGTTTTAGCGTATTTCTTACGAATATAAAAGCAGGGAAATCGGTAACATTATTTTCTTAACATTTTAAAAGAATTAAGTTATGACTGTTCGTCTAATAAGAGTAGATTAGAAATTAGTATATCGCAAGTGTTAAAGTTCCAGAAATATCACATTCTCGAATATAAACTAAAAGTTAGGCAAATAGTAAACGGCAAAAGATCTTACCAACGGTGGTGTAACGAACAAAGGTTTCCTTGTTTTCAATCAATGAATCTACAGCAAGTTTCTCGCAATACTGAGCCGTAATGATAGCTATAGTGGGTTGTTTTGCGCTTGCCATCGTCGGCATCTGTTTCACCACCTGAAAATTTTACGATATTAGAATAAGTGGAAGATAACGAGAATCGGCTGAAAAATTATAATTAAATAATAATTACTTGAACTTGAGTATCTTCGTGAACGACACGTGTAAAAGCTCCATGATCCATTGATTTAACAAGTCCTTTCTCTTGAAGCTCTTTTAATTTGGCTTCGACGGCTGATGGTTCCCATCCATGTTGCCTAAAATTATCAAATTCATTGTTATGGAATTTATCATTAAAATAATTATATAATTCTCTCTCTTGTGTAATATATTATTTCCTTGATCTAAATTCTATTTATCATGGTCACTTACTTTGCTATGTCAACCACGGTAACTGGATTCGGATAAGCAGACTCAATAAGCTCCAGAACTTTTTCTACTGTTAGCTCGATTATTTGACCCATGATGGTTTCGTCTGTGGATACTTTTAATAAAAAAAAAAGAGAACAAAATTAATTACACGAGTAATTAAGACAATGACATTGCGGTAAGTTTGTAAGTTTGTCTTTTAAGCCGCATGTATGCCTATTCATAAATTTTAAATTACAGTTAATAGCATTGAAAGAAGAATACAGCACTCCATGACATATGCAAGTTAAATTTTCTGCCGTGTAAATGAGTCTAAACTCGGGTGTTGCGTAATTTCTAATCTGTCCAAAGTATTTCGAAAGTATAACATAGCTGTTGTGGTGCGCAGTTTTAACTAGTCTTTGTTTCTATAGCTAGAGTCGAGCTAGAACCGTTAGTGAAGGATACAGTTAACGTGTATATGGGAGTGACACTCGAACACATATATGCCAACTAATGATCATGAGTAAAAGATTCGTGCTCTACATGGATGCATTTCCTTGCAGAATGAAGACTAAAATGGCGATGTCACTGCTCTATGTGATATGCTAATGAGTTATCAATTAGAGGCAGTTAGAATTCAGGGCAAACAAGAACGGTGTGATTTTGGGGACATGTAATACATATACTTCTAAATTTCTGTGTTCAAAATTAATGCAGATGAAACAGCATTGTCAAAATTAAATTTTAATGAAAAGAACCCATGTTTTTAAATGCTGCTATTTATTTTGTGTTATTTTTAATCGTGTAATTTTGATGAGTATCATTGTGTCGAGTTGTTCGTGTATAATTTGTAAAAATGTTTGATGTATGATAATAATTTTATATGTCTAGTCATGCTGTGAGGGTAAATATGCATTATACATGTAGGGAATACAATATCCAGGTCAAGTCAAGTGGTTAAGTGGGATGTTTTTTACACTCTAGTTAATGTATTCTCTTGTGATCGATTCAGTTAAACAGATCGGAAAATCTTTTCTCACATAATCAAAGAGCATAATAAATTTTATAAACTAGCATACGCTTTTTTATTCCAACTTTAATCAAAGAGAATAAAAATATATCCTTTCTCAAATTGGTAAATAAAATATTATAAATCAATGTAACGCAAATCATAACGCTAGGCAGACTATGTTAAGCCAATGTTGTTATGGTTACCAGATTATTGTGCCAAGCGACAGAATATATATCTACCAGCCAAGTAAAGAAATTTCTTTCTTTTTAATATATGAAATTATGCGGGAAAAAATCCGCGATTATTCTGTTCAGTAATTACAACGTGTTATAAGAAACTATATTATGTGTGTAAGTTTCGTTTGGACTATTAGCCTGTGTATGAGAAAAAAGAGAATGAACATCAATGAAATGTGACAAAAATGCTGAATTTCTTTGATTCTCGAACCTGATCTCCACATAACTTTCTCAGAGAAAGGAAGTGTGAATAGTAAGTGACCAGTAGCTGTGAATAATAGAAATTAAGTATGAAATAGATGTACACGCTTAATACAATGTAATTGTGATAGTATAGAATACATGGGAAAACTCCGACTTAAATTACATGATGGATATACATAAGCCACTGAGAGTTTTAGTCAAGTGTGCATTTCCTTTTGAGCTGAGCTGTAATGTACACTTGAGACACATTACTTCAATAAGGAACTATTAAGCACAATCAGCTTAATCAAATAACCGTTAACCCTTCTCCCGTATAGATTTTTTGTCTTAGATTTTTTGTCGCGCCAAAGTGAAATTACATTCATGAAATGAAAATGTATAACTAAATCCACTATGTGATATATATATATATATATATATATATATATATATATATATATATATA